AAAATTCATGAGACCTAAAAATAAACTATTCAACATTTTTCTTGTATAGTCTGAATGCATATACATTCATGGACATTGTCTCCCTCCCTCCCACCTAGGTATTTACATAGCTCCCATCATCATAGTATTGGAGTGTCTCATAATACCCTTTTGAGGTAGGTTGTATTTTCCCCATTTCACTGCTAGGGAGTGGAGACACAGAGAGACTAAACACACAATAATTGGGTAGCAAAACAGGAACTGACTCGGTGTCTCCTGAGTCCAGGCACCAGTGCATATGCCACACAACTATCCTGCTACTCTCTTATTTTGTCTAGCCCCCTTTTTCTTTTCTTTGTCCCTTCATAAGATCTCGCCAGTATTGGTGTGAGAGCCTTCTCTTCTGCAGCATCTGCCATTTCCAACAGACTTCCAGTATTTATCTCCTTTCCAATCACAGCTTGAAAACATGTTTTTTTCCCCCTTGCTTATACCACTAAATTTTTGTCTCCCTGTTCTATTATGTATGTCCTAACACGGCTGGGCCCTAAACACCCATTATATTGATTTGTGGGGTGTTCAGCTCAAGAAAATAGGACTTTAAAGCCAAACGAGTGCAGACACCAGAGCAGACAATAATGATGAAAAATTGAGACCTTTCAACAGTATCGTTTGGGCACCACGTCTGAAGCATCTGTTTGTTTTAACCTTGGTTGTTGGAGAAGCCAAAGCAAATGGCTTGAAGTTGATGTACCACAGTGAAAAATAACTGATCGATACAGCTGCTAGCTGAGGGGAAACCTTTTTTTATTTTTTTTTTCCAGCCACAATGTCCTCCGTCATTGTCAGCATCTCCCGTGCATAACTGATGAATCTCCATTCTAGGCAGGCAGTTTATAGCTCATAAATACTTGGGTGTGTCAGACAGTAATAGATCCCTTAGGAATGGCTGTAGTGTCTGGATGGTGGCTGAATAGATCCCTCTTAAGATCCTATCTCTCCAGCATAGAAAATGGATTTTAATGGTCACAAACAGATGGTGTTCATGAAAGGCGGAAATATAGATGATTATAGCTCATGTCACACAGGGCAGAGAAAATAATCTGCTATATTTAAAGCTTTTTTCTATTAAAAACAGAAATGTAGCCTCAAGCAGTTCTTGTACAATGCGATAATGTAGCAGTTATAATGAACTACTAAAGATTTAGTGGTTCCGTTCAGCCCGGGTAAGAACCCAAAAGTTCAGATGCTTGTCTGAGCTATCCAAACCTCCAGAGTTTATGCAGTCACACATTAATATAAGCTTTTTAATGTGTGGCATAGGATTTTACTGTAAGACTAGAAATAACATGAGACCAGCCTCAGTTGTGGTGTTTTGGCCCTTCCAACGGGCACGCTAAAATGAGGAAGGCCCAATATATAATTATATATTTTAAAAATTCAACAATCTTTTTCACACCCTCAAAGATTTCTTTGAGAGTGTTGATTGAGTCTAGGGTGAAAGTTTAGGGTTGTTCTTTTATCCCAATCATTTTGCCTGGCCCTAATTATAAACTTCTGCTCTAAAAAATAATAAGCCAGTTTCTCTAATGCGATTCAAAACATGCACAGGGGGCAGGAATTTCTGTAAGTTACGGCTTGCGGCGTTCCTTCCTTACTGATTCATCGGGGAGTGAGGGGTGCCCACCCTCTGTGGAAAGGGCAGGAGGTTTTGTCCTTAAACTATCAGCTGATGGAGAAACCTCACAAGGTTTAGTGGGCATTTTGCCATGGAAAGCAGCTCTATCCTCAGCCTCGTGTCCTCTTGGCTTACTTTCCCCTGACTTGTCAAGCCCAAGCTTGTTGTATCCCCATAGAAGGGTTTCCACTGGACTGTCCGGTGGGGGGCGGGGGGCGGGGGAGGTTTCCACCAAGCCAGTGCTTCTTTCCTTCTGACCCTCCCCTTCTCCCTAATGAGATTTGCTGATTTTTGGTGCGCCTCCATAGGGGAGAAGCAGAACCTGTGGGTCCATCGCATAGCCTGTGGGCACAAACCCACATAAAACTGATGCCTTCATGGATTGGCTGTGTTGACCAGGGGAATGCCAGAGATTTTATACTATGGGGAGCTGTTTTGAGTCCCTTGGTGGGCACTGCAGGGTGCTGCTGAGTTAGTATGTTATTGGGGCTTGTTTGTGTGTGACCCCTTGAACGTGTAACCCCTTTTTATCTCTATGGAAAGTTATGGGTGTAATTCTATAGCTCAGCACAATGAGAAAATACCCTTAAAATGTCATTATTTGGGAGTTTAATTCTTATAAAGCTTTTTTTTTTTAAGGGGCTTTCTTGAGTGAACACATGTTGGGCAGCATCCACTCTGCAGGCCCAGAACTAGGGCCTGATCACTGTGAGGCCTGAAGGCCCTCAGCTCCTATTGAAGTCAACGGGAGTCAATAGCTCTGTGCACATCAGAGTTGCTTCATAACTCTCTTGGCCAGACCCTTTCAGCCAGGCAGAATTCCCAGTGAATGACTCAGGATCCCTGAAATCAAATGGGAGTTTTGCCTCAACAAGAACTATGGGATTAGGCTCTGGATCTGTAATTTATGGGAAACAGACTGTGCTTCAGTTCATTGCTGCAGTGTGCTGTGTGATTCCTGGTTGTTCAGGAGGTTTTTGTCATGTTGCAGTTGTGTTGGGTGGCATTTTAGTGTGTGTCACCTGCAGGAATTGCAAGCTGTTTCCTTCATGGGAGGGGAAAGTGAGAG